TACTAAAGCATTAGAGAAACACTTAGGACAAAGTAATATACATAAAGAAGTCGTTGTCAATGAGGAATGTTAAAGAGATGGTTTTGAGTTTCTTTTTTACTTTCTCATTTTATGACTTTTTCTGTGTTGTATAGTGATGACTAAGATAAGTTGCTTTGGAAAAATCAGAGCTGCTCTGCAATAATAATCAAATCAGTCTATATATGGATGTGTTTTGTGGTATGTTTATTGTAAAATACATTGTTTTCACTTAATGGAAGATTTGAAAGGGGGAAGGAGAAGGAGAAGGAATGGCCCAAGTTGAAACTTCTTGGCACACCATTAAGAATCATTTAGGAAAGTTCTATCAGCTCTGAAGCTTCCTCTACAGCTATTTGAACCAGGACAAGAAAAGTCCTACAAACAAAGGAGGGGAAAAATAAAAAGTAGATGGTAGATTTCAAAGGATGATCTGTTTAGAGATGGAATTTTATGGTTCAGGAGAATTCGGGAGAAGCAGAGCTGCTGTCTGGGAAAGCTCGGGAGCATCAGCCCAGCTCACAGTGCCAAAAATGGCACACATGTCAATACCATTATAAATAATACTTATTTTTCAGAAGGCTGTGTGGTCATTATTCATGCTGGATTCATCTGGAAAGATGAATCATGACTACCTGGGCTCACTGGACTTTCTGAACAAGAGAGCTAAATTTTGGGACTTATCATACAAATACTCTTCTGGACTGAGGGTGTTGTTTCTGCCTTGTGGATCATTTACAGTAATTAATAGCTTGCAGAAAATGAGAACTTCTCATTGCAAGGTTTGGATAAGTGTTTTACTGGATGTTCAGCTGAAGTTGGTTAGGTGGGATGGAGCAAACCCACTCTTCTGAAGTTGATAAAAATTACATTAGTTCAGCTGCCCTGTGAAGTTCACTGAGTGAAGGGAAACTTTTCTGCTCCTAGTCTTCAGTTCAGTTTATTATTACTTATTTTAAACTCATTTAAATTCTCTTAGCAGTCATGATTTTGAGTCATCAATTCATTCTCATACCCTGATGTTATTTGCCATAAAATCTGGGAGTGCACTTAATAAATCTAAATGTACTCTATAACAAAAAAACCCACATAAAGTATTGAAGATGCACACACAGGGCAGGTTTGATTCCTCACGTAGCTACCTATACACATGTGCCATAATATGTACCTATACAGACAGACATCCACAAATAATCCTAAACTGGAAGCATGGATATAGTAGCCCAAAGTAAGGGTTTTTTTGCATAAATCTTAACTCTGAGTCTCAAAATATTCAGCAACCACTTCCCAGGGCTTCTTCCTATCTCTTGCAGGTCATTTTTTTTGCTCATCTCCTGTTCTCACGAAAACAGTGCATAGCAGACTCAGCTATTATAAGACTCATCAGCTTCCTGTCTCGACATCAGGCTTTTCCTTCTCACTTTAGTCTTAAAAATGCACTTTTCTCAGTCATCCTGAAACTGCTTAGAGTATGGGCACAGTTATAGCATCATAGCACTCAGCAGTAGATGGGAAACTGCCTTCCAGAATGAGGAAAATCAGCATATATGGGAGAGAAATTGGAACAAAATTTGTTGTTTCTCACTTGAGAGAGCTGTTCAGGAGACTCTGCTATTCTGAGTCTTTCAAAATCAGATGATGGCCTCTCTTCAAAGTTCCTGCAGTGTAGCTAGGAAAAAATCCAACAAACACACCACCTTTTTCTTGATGGACTCAAGAGATCTGCTGTAAGGGGAAACAGGACCAGGCTCCTAGCTGTGACCTGTATTTTATAAGTAATTTAGGAAGCCAATGTGTAAAGTGGCTCAGCAGACTTGGAAGCACCAAATGGTGGAACTGCCAACTTTGAGCTGGTTGATGAAATGTAACCATTAGGGTAGACCCTTTTCAGGTCACGATGATCACCAGCTTTTCCACGTTGGGAAAAATTATTGCTGAAGCTGCCTCGTTGCCCACCACTGATGCTCATGCTTTGTGACCACAATTCACTTTACTGACGTGTGCAACCAGAGCTGAGCCAAGTAACAGGTTTGCACAAAAACCACACCTTTCAGGCTCAGGAGAAAGGGGAATGATGCTTTGCTTTGGGGTGCTTGAATGGAAGTAGTTCACATTATAATCATATCTTACAGAGTATAATACTCTTACTGTATTTATTTAATTAATCATAATGGTTTATAGGATAGCAAATGGATTCAGTTCTTCCTTCCACCACTCTACAAGTAGTGACTGATGCATTGTTTGTCATTAAATTTAGCCAATATATAATATTTTAAGGTTGGGTCCCTAAAGGAATAATATTATAATTCTGCATCTGTGTAAATAAAAATATACATGTGTATATATTTACACACATGAAGACCTAATTTTCATTTCAGTTTATACCAAGACAGGTCCCACAGGAGCTATAAAGTGAAGTTGGTTTGGGCCTGAGTGCTTACTGGGAAAAAAAACATTTTTTGTAAGAGCCTAGTCTGTTCAGGGGGAGTTTGCATATGATTAAAATTTCACCCATGCCAGAAGAAAAAATGGCTTTGGTATGAAAAAGAATCATCTATATACAGTTGCAATGTATTTACTTGTATCATTACTTACCTTTGGCATAATAAAATTTCAGCTCTATTGAATTGCTGTATCTCTAAACTGAATTTTTTAAGCTGTTTGGAGTAAATTGCAAGGTTCTTCTCCATGGCACTGTCTTTATTGTTCTGCCGGGATGTCTTCTTTTGTCATAAAAACAATAACTTAGTGTAAGTAGTACTTTTTAGGTTTACTAATCAGACAGACTAATTGTATCTTTTAATCTGGGTCAATCTGCTCTTGCTTATTATGATTTGGCTCCAAATCCCCCCCAAAAAGAGGAACATTTGCAAATAATTTAGTGTCAGAAGCACTCTTATATAAACACTACAAGAATTGCTGAAAGGCCCAAAAGAAAGTCTCTATAATTTTGAATCCAAGCGTCTAATATATTTTATGAAAGGAATATATTGCTGTTCTTAAACCTTGGAATGAACTTGAATGTGTGTGTGTGTCTGTGTCTTCAGGTGAACACATAAAAGGACTGGCTAAACAGGGAGTGGGGTCTTTCCTCTATTTACAAAGCTGAGGCTGTCTAGACAGGGCACTTTTCCTGATTCAATCTACCAACTAAACTTAGAAAGACCATAGTAATATTCGATTTTAGCTTCATCACCATGTCTGTACAGTCCCTGCTTAGATTGCTAACCAGGGTGATTATGGCTTACTGAAACTGTTAATGTTTTGGTTGGATGTTTGTCTTCTCAAAAATGGGCTGAAAGATTTTTCCCTGTAGGCTACTGAAGTTTCATTGCATGTTAACTGTTTAGGTTATTTTCCAATTCCACCACCATCCAGAAGTGAGAAAAAACAGCTGCCACAGGAAAAAGAATATTCAAATTTCTCATGGAGGCTTTGAAATTACTTGATGCCTGGAGTAATTTTTTTACGTCACAGGAGAACCTCTGTTTACAAACAAAGTCTGAAAATGGCTATACCTTATGGCAGTACCAGTCAGCTGCTCTCACAAAGCAGTGACTTTGTCATATCAACATAGGAAAGCTTCAAAATAAGTTTCCAAATATATCTGTTCTTCTAAGCAGTTTGGAAGTGCAGTCCTAGCTGCATGAAGAAATATTTTTCTTCAGGTTGAAGGATGGTTTTATCATCCACCTGCATAAAGTGCTTTAGTAACACAAACTGTTATCAAGAAGGCAAAAGATAGTGCAAAATTATGCCCACAGTTTCACGTATGTCCTCCTGATAAGGAAAAGTCTTGAGAAAATGTTCTTTGCCATAAATTATTCCCTCTGAGGGGAAAAAAATATTGAAAGGCATTTTTTTGTTGTTTTTTTTTTTTTTTTTTGACAAGTACAATATAAGAGATTAGTTCATTTGAGTAGAGAGTACTTAAAAATGCAGCTGCGTGCAGATTTCTTAAGAAACTACAACTGACAATTGAAGAGGAAACCTAAAACAAGATTACAAAAATTAATCAGTTGGCACAGAACGGCTGACATTAATGTGTGTACTTCTTTGTTTTGAAACTAGACTGTGGAGGAGTTTTCTTATACAGAAAATTTCATCTACTTGTACTTGTCTCCTCACATAGTCAAATATTTTGTGAGACAGATCAAAAAACCTCTTTGACAAGCTCATTCCCACGCTTCTCCTTTTTAACCTGTTTTCCTTTTTTTCTTTTTATTGGGTTTCTCCTCTTTTCCTGGAGACTTGTTGAGATAAAGAAAACTTTGCTTGAAATATATTTCAGTAGCTCTACCTGTCTGGGGCAATCAGTATTTAAATGAAATGAGGAAACAGAATTTTAAAAAATACTAAGAGATGGAATAAAGTTTCACTAGCCTGTTAGAGAATTTTGGGAGCACAGAGAGGGTGTTGAGGCTGACATTGGGCAAGGTAGTCAGGTAGAAGGAGGTTCTTTGAGGAACTATTGCTGTATAAACTCTGAGCTCTACCCTGAAATGCTATCACAGATTTCTCTCATATTCCAAGTTGTATTTTTTTTTATGTTACATAGAATGCAATATTTCTTGGAAAAACCTTTGATCACAGTACAAAAAATATAAAGTGACTCGGTGTGTGTAATTTGCCTTCCACAAGAGAATAAAGAAAAATGGTATAATTGAGTACAAAGATTGAATGGGCAGAATTTCTCAGTTAAGCACTAGGCTGCATGAGAGCTGTGCAAGAGGCTAATGTGGTGTCTGCTTTATGAAGTGCTGTGATAATTGACAATAGTTACATAGAAAGAGTGCAGGGAGTTGCAAGACTGCATTATTTAATATGCACTGTGTGCAGTACCCATTGGGGTTGAATATTTATAACATTTCTTTGCATGGGATTTTTTTCTATCCACCTTTGCATTTACAGAATTTCTTTTTTCCAGTGATCTCAAGGAACTTCTTTTGAAGCCTTTACTCATGCTGATTAGTTCCTCACAGGTGGCACACTTGCAGCTGGCAGGTGAGGCCTCACCAGGTGAATACTGGTGCCCACTGAGCAGCCCACAGAATTCAAAGTAGCCTTCAATGTAAGTGCAACCAGTGTGACCTCACTGCTCCAGAAACAGACTCCAAACAGTTGATTGTCTCATTCTTCTGAAGGTATGTCTTCCAAAAAAAGGTAGGAATTTGTAGAACAGCTCTAGTTTCTTCTCTCCTGTTTAATTTTCTAGTCCTAGACCTCAAATTAACTGAAAGGGTTGCAAACATTGGAACCACCCAGTTAAGTGGTGGAGTCACCATCCCTGGAAGTTTTTAAAAGACATGTGGATGTGGCATTTAGGGACATGGTTCAATGGTGGACTTGGTAGTGCTGATTGGACTTGATAATCTCAGAGGCATTGTCCAAATGAAACAATTCTGTGATTCTAATCCAGCTACTGTGACTTCTCTTACACTGACACAAAAGTTATGCACCTCTATTTGTGACCATATTGATGAACAGTTATTTTACAGTTGGATTTTAATTATCCTGCTTGGTTGCTAATGGTATTTAAATGAATTAGAAAAAATGAGTTAATGAGCTTGTTTTGATACATTCCATAAAGCTGAGTTTGATTCATCTTTAATTTATACATCTGCATTGTGTAAATAGCCATTTTGTAAAGAAATAAATATGTATTGGACATGTATAAGCTTTTCTTTTGGACGAGTCTTATCAGTAAATTCATGGCCCCATTTTGAAAACAAACACCTGGATTATCATTAATTCTTATACACTGTAGTGATTTGAGACAGAAAAGTATTTATATCATAACCAGAGGATTCTGTGGTTTTTAAACAAAGCTCCTATTGATTTCTGTGGGGTTCTAAATTTTAAAATGTCATTTTTCTGCCCTATCATGTTTATTTATTGTCTTTAGGGACTCAGAAGGATGTAATCAAGGGATTCAAAGTTAAATCAAATAAATATTCATGGAAAATGTGTCTAAATCTTAAAGAATTTTTTTTTAATTACCTTGTATAATATATTTGAGTTTCAAAATACTAAATATTATTAAAAAGCTAATTAAAACAATTTTATGTTTTGAATTGATTCTGTAATTCTTTTAAGGCTAGGCATGAGTGAATATAATGTTCAGACGTACTTTGCTGATCCAATTTCAAACTCTCTGCCTAACTGGCCTTTTATTCCCAGGCACAGATAATGAAAAGGGAACATAATGTAGATGGGAATGGCTGAAGTGAGCCACGCATCATAGTGATGAGGTATGCCTTTTCCTCCAGAGCTTTTTTTCTCTAAGGGACAAAATAATCTGGATTACTCAATAATGTCATCTTTGACATAGGCTTATTTTAAACTCTTGTGGTCATGTTCAGCTTTTCTACCTATGTATGCAGCAGACCTGTGTTTTTCACCCCAGAGTATTATTCTCATTTGCTTTTAACATAAGGAAATCTGGGTTTCTTTAAAGATACGTGTGTGCTGATAGAATCTCAGGATGGCATAAATCTGTCAGTTGTATCAGCTCCTCTTTCTATAGTACATAGCTTGCATAGAGCAAATGCAGAAACAGTACAGTTTTCCACAAAGCATGAGAAAAATTTCTAGGATCTTTGATTTCTGTAGTTCTCCCACTTAAAATCTCCTTCAAAGTTTTGATTATCACACTGTGATAGGCTGCTCAGAAAAACCCAAGACAGATAAGATAGATCTAATTTCTAACCCTGACATCTCTGCCACCCATTCATTACTCTTTTACATTTCTTGCTATGCCCTGTGAAAGCAAATGTGTCACTTACATCTCCAATTTCTATCAGAGGGGGAAAATAGTTGCATATTAACATCAGAGCTTTTAAAAAGTGGAGCAAATTGTGTAGAGTTAAGAATCTCCCCACTTCAGGTGAATAATCAGCCTGGCAGGAGAGGATCATTCTACCCATTTTTCAGTGAGTGCAGGGAGGTAGTGTCTGTTCCTTGTGCTGTTGTTTGTTTTAAACACATTATTTCATAACCATTGTGTAAAAACGAGTCCTTTGCCTGTTCAGCTAGCTTAGGGAATGTTTGAAATCAAGCAGCTTTTGTTTTATAATGTAAAATCTGTGTATCCCTGCACTTTTGCACCACTTGTATTCTCCACAGTGACTCTCAGTGGGTAACTTAAAAATGTACAGGAATGTTCAGAACACATTTTGAAGAAAGAAGAGAAGGGGGGGGGGGGGGGAGAGAGAGAGAGGGATAAAAAAGAGAAGAGAAAGAGCGACTCATCTTAAGTTACACCATCATCTTTAACAGCTGTGCACATATTAAAGGAAGTAATGGGGGAGTGAAGGTACTGCATATTTCAAAGCTGAACTGTTGCAGTAACAATAAGAAAGGGGGGATGTTGTACAGAGTTAGCCAAGTGTTTGAAGTGCATTACCGTAAGCCAAACCAATGAAGTGGACAAGATTTCTAGCATGCTGCAGTGGTGCCTCTGCGTACTTAATAACAGATGTTTGGTCTCTCTAGGCAGATAATTGTCCTGCTGTAAGGTTGGCTTGACCTGTGTGAGCAATACTGTGTACAGCACTGAAACAGTAACAAATGATCATAGCTTTTCTCGTTTTACTGGTAGAATGCTTAGCCACGCTTCCTTTTAAGCACATAATTACTCCAAAGCAACTGGAGCCCATACATCCTCCTTGCCTAATGGCTCTGAAGCCATTTTGCTATAATTTATGGGGACAGGGTTCAAAGTTTTAATAATATTTGGATAATATCATTGCCAAAATGTCTTTGAGCTGTGATGAATAGAATGAGAGTGGGCGCATTTTGATTCTGTGCATGACAGTGCGAGTGTTAACAGCACCATACTTTGTTCAACCTTTATGGAAACATTCACGAGCCAATTTGCTCATGAATTGTAGATATGAGCATGAAGAATTATAAACAGCAGTGGAAAACATACAGGGTTGCTTGTTCATAAGGCACTGTCCTGTTAGTGGCTCTTCTTCATGCAGATAAATGAATTGCAGAGAATACAAAAATGGTTTAAATAAACCCTTAGCAGATAATGTATTGGCACATCAACATAAAATACACATGCACTGTGGCATGCTTTTGGATATTTATGTTTATACTCTCTGCTCAAGTGGCTCACTGATTTTTTGGCTTCCTATCATTCACCTAATAATTTCAGGATCCTAACTGCACCTCTGGGTATGTTTATCTGACAATCCAAGCTGTTCTTTGCTTTATGTGGCTTGCTGAAATTGGCCAATTTGCTCTGCAAGTCGCTCCAGTGCATGATAGGTTAATGATGTTAATCAAAGCTAAATAAGAGTAGACATGATCCTTTCATTGGAATCGCAGCCCATCCCAGCTCAGAAAGTGCAAACAAAGCTGTTGGGTAGGTGGCACGAGACCACAAAAATAACACCAAAAGAATATGTGCCTAAAGCTAACGCACGCCTAGAGCTTCATTCTGAGCCTACCAAAGTCTGGAGGAGTCTCTACTGATTTCACTGAGATTTAGACCAGATGCACAGAACTCTTCATCCTTTGGCTAAGAATGTTTTATTCTAGATTGCTGGATAGAATATGAAACTTACTGTGAATAAACTGCATAAAAGCTAAATTCTGTAGATAGTTTATCAGTGAGAGGTTAAGAATTTGTTTGACAAAGAGCACAAGTGTTTTTCCATACAAAAATTACATAAAAATGCTGACTTGTCCAGTCATGACAGCTGCTGTCAATGATAAATGAAAAAAAACCCCAAACAAATATGAACAAGACTTGCTTTAAATGTTCCCAACAGTGATGGTAGCTAGAAACAATTTAATACTCTGTTTAATTCCATTCAATGATAGTCAAGCAATGCTTCATTTAATCAAAGAGGTGTTTGATTACAGAAATAATCAGCTGACACAGTCCCAGTTCACTCTGACCATGCATGTAGATGGTTGGATGTGACATATGTGAGGGTTGGCAGTTATTTCTGAAAAACTGCTAGGATAGCCTTAATTGCAATGGTCTGATTTGTATTTGATAGCCTTACTTGAAAATCTTAATGCTTATTATGAAATGTTAATGTTAATTTCTTGGTGATTCTTTTAAGTATAAGCCTTAATTGCTTTGGTAAATAGGGATTTTTTTTCCTCAATGAGTTGAGCAGAGTTCACCAACTGAAATTGTTTCTTCTGATTATGCTGAGGTCTAAAGACAAAATGAACTTAGATGGTTGCTTTAAAAGAAAAAAAAAAACAACTGATATTTGTGAGGTTTAATTAATTTTTCATTTTTCAGAGAATATTAAGTACTCATATAAAAATGGGATTGGTAACTCATGTGGTTATCTTAAAATACCTGGACTGTTTTATTTCTGTATTAAGCTGTTGACTAAGTATTTTAGAATAGGTATATTTTAATATTGGCTTATCATTAGAAGATGAAATATATACTTTATTCTTCCTCCTCCTTATTCTTTTTTTCCTTCAACTACAAAGCAAGTCTGGAAACCTTCAGCCTCATAAGTTAAAAATACAACATCTCTGTATTTTTCTTAATTGTTTTCTGGAAAAGATCTCTAAGGATGAATTGAGAGACAGGAATGATAAAGGCAGAAATAGTTTTACATTTTGAACAATTCGAACAAGGGGCTGAATATTCAACAACTGATAGGCCAAATAACAAGTTGTTACCTTCACAATGCACAGTCACAGAGTACATATGTGTCACTTTGAGCAAAGATTGAAAAGACATTAGAATTAGAGATTTAACAGCCAGTTTTGATTAAATCAAAACAATCAGAGTACTTAGATTTGCAACAGAATTAGGTTTTAAAAATCCAGACTCAGAATACCTTGCTAGACCTCACATTTCAATCTTATTCAAAGATTAATTTTTCAGGTGATACTTCTGACGAATATATGTTGCAGAATACTTGAGGACTCTTCTGGCAAACAACAATGTATGTTTGATTGTTTTGCCTCCTGTCTGTGATTTATAACAGTTTCAGAACAGAGAAATGCTGCTGCTTGCTTTGTAGAGAGAATTCTATCATATTTAAGTGAGGTAATAGGATATCCTGATTTTTTAGGTTGTTTAATGGTTATGCTCATTGGATTAAAAAAGAAACAGATAAAGCAATATTGTCCATTTCTATAATTTTAAAATATTTAAGTTGAAATCTATAGAAACCAGCTCCAGATCTGTCTCTTTCCTCCTTTCATTAATTCACATAGAATTTGTCAGTACTTGCTTTGATTGAAAATGTCCACTCCTCATGCACCACATAACATAGGGATCTGTCCCAGCACAGAGTGTGGCAAATAGAGGACATGGCAGTGTAGGAGCCTGAAAGCCTCAAATATTGCATTATGCCACAGGAAGAGGATGGGTTTATACACAAATAACTGTGTCATTTCTAGCTATAGTTGGAGAATAATATTTCTAATTTATTTGCATCCCTGTACTGTGTGTGTTATTGCTCTTTGGAAAACTGCTGATATCTGTTTCCAAACCACATCTTGTGAAGATTCACTTTAATATAATCACATGAAGAGAAATTAACTCCAACATGGATATGACACTGACCCTTTATCCTTCAATTTGTGTTGTTCTAGACCAGAAAGGTGTACAGGGAGATTTCCTGGTATATTTATCAAATCAAAAGCCTGAGAGATGTCCCCAGAGAGCAGATGTGTCTATAAGATTCCTTGAAAGGTGTAACCACTAATTTAGCTCAAGAGCTCACATAAATGAGTAGATTTGGGTTGGACTCGATGATCTTAAAGGTCTGTGCCAACCCAGTGATTCTGTGATTATGGATCAAATAATCCCACCCACCTACCTACAAGACAAGTGTATGCTGCTATCCCCACATCCCACAGAGTTTAGGCAAAGCTAATGAAGAATGCTTAGCAAACTCTCAGGAGCTCTGAGGATGTGACAGTTTTAGATTCACATTCAAAGTCTATTCAAAACCTCCATGCCCAAGAGCATTTGGTTTGAAATCTTATAACAATGGTTATTTTTATGAAATGTCTCAGACCTGCCATTTTTTATTTGACAGAAAGTATCTCTAAATACAGCCATGATTCTCAGTGATTTCCCTCACTGGGGGATCCTAGCATTCTAAATGTCAGGCTGAAAGTTCTACTGAATCAAACTTCTCTCCGTGCTTATTTATGAAATGGAAATCTAATTTGGCTGGCATGAACACACTGAAGATTATCCCAAAAGAGTGCACAAAAAGTCAAGGTGATTTTTTTTTTTACTTGTTCC